GAACTCTGTTCTACTGTGGATAGTTGTGGCGCTATCATGGGGTTGTGGCTGTGTATATGGTGACATAGTTTGTGTTTAAATTAATAACTACATCATCCATTAATTTAACTTTCACAACTACCCGATGACTAATTATTCTTACTTTACAAAAGAAGAAACTGATGCTTAGCGTGGTTAACTTGTCTAAATTGAGGAACTAGCCTTCAAATCCAGGTCTGGTTGACCCCAAAGCCCATGCTCTTAAGCACTGTGATGCGCCCTCCTTTCTGCAGGTGATGAGAATGGGACTGTCTCCCTTGTGGATACAAAGAGTGCGAGCTGTGCCCTCAGCTCAGCTGTGCACTCCCAGTGTGTCACGGGGCTGGTGTTCTCCCCACACAGGTAATGTTCTGTGTCATCAAGGGCCTGGTAGGTGTGAATGGGCACAGCAAGGGGAGATGCTTCTGCTGGCAAAGCGTAGCCGCTTAGGTAGCTCCTGGAAGCAGACCTGCTCTAGCTGAGGTTCCAGAATGTCAAAGCTCTCCAAAGACTGTAGTCTGTTTTTAGGTTGTACAGTCTCTTTCTGAAAGTGGCTAACACCCTGCTCAGCACCCAAAACAATGATTCTCGTGGCTTCTAGGACTGTGTGATTGGGAAGGCCCGTTTCTGGGTTATTGCTGAAGCTACAGGGAGGGACTAGATGGGATGGTTAATGGCCAGGACGATTGTTAACCCTGGCCCTCCTTGTCTTCCCTTGAATGTGGACTTGAGTGGTAGGCAGACCTTAGCCCAAAGCGTTAAGGATCAGGCCACCTTCTCTGGGTCACTTTAGGGTGGGGGTTGGTTGCCGGCCCAGTCAGGGTTTGTCTTGGGACCTGTGGGTTTTACCTTTCACAACCCTCTCCTTCCCCTCCTAGTGTCCCTTTCCTGGCCTCTGTCAGTGAAGACTGCTCTCTTGCTGTGCTGGACTCTGGCCTCTCCGAGGTGTAAGTGTGAAGTGGAGGGCTGTGCTCAGGAATCAGGGAGGGGTGCATGGGTGGCTGGGTCCTTCTCTTCAGAAAGTGCATTGTCTCGTTCAGGGGGACTGGTGATAGAAGCAGGCTGGCTGTCGACCATTTCCCTGGCCCTGGGGCTGACTCACGACCAGCTCTGTCCCTGGTAGAGGAGGAACGTGGTGGCAGGTGGAATTTCTAAGTCCGGCATTCCAGCTGTCTCCCAGGAGGGCACAGCCTACCTTTTGTGCATAAAGAACCATAGACGTGAAGGGCAACCTTACAGGATGAAAGGCATCAGACAGCTGATCTGAATTGTACTTCCTTCTTTACCATGATTTCTGTCTGATCTCCGCTCACCCATATCACTGCCCTTGCTCTGGTCACCACTTCTTCATCTCTGAAAGCAGGGCAGTGGATTAGATGATTGAAGAAATCCTTTGCGTAGTTGCGCTGCTCTCCTGGTGACAAGGCCACACATTTGGTCAAGTGTATGTAACACATCCAAAAAGTGTGCCCTGGATGTGTTGAGTTCTCTTTCTTCTCTAAGTCACTTTTTCGTCTTGTCCCTTACTGTGCCCAAACTTTTTCTCTCTTCTAGGTTTAGAAGCCGAGCCCATAGAGACTTTGTGAGAGATGCTACTTGGTCCCCGCTCAGTCCCTCCCTCCTTACCACGGTGGGCTGGGACCATCAGGTCATCCATCACATCGTGCCCACAGAGCCTCTCCCAGCCCCAGGACCTAACAGTGTTGCCGAGTAGCTTGGATTTAAGACAAAAGGCAAATCCCCGTGAGCGGCCAGTCGCTTTGCCGCTGCCCTCGCAGTTCGTGAGACGGCGCAGGAGCCTTACGCTGCGTGTCCATACTCCAGATCCATGCGGCCACTGGGCACGTCGCTCAGCCTGGGGGTGGCGGATTCTGCGGTCCTGTAGTCATAGGGAAAAAAAAACTTTCTTAAAAATAGATATGTATGTATGAGTGTGTGTGTAGATACATAGTTTTTGATGAGGGGATAAAAAATCCATCCTACATCGTTCCCAAGGCCTACCCACACCCCCCTCCCCACAGACTGTCCCCCTAAAAAAGTCCACAGAAGGGTTTTATGCTCCCCAGGTAGCAGTGCATGATGAATCGGCTATGTCTGGATGAGGTATGAGATGTAGGCACTTCTGGATTCTAGGAAGCAGCTCATATACTACTCATAGAAATAGAAGCAACTTAATATTTTATAGAGCTATATTCACCTTCATCATAGGTGGCAATGCTTCCACTCACAAAAATCCAGCCCAGCTCACCTCGAGGAAGAGCCAGGACACCTTCCCCACAGTTCTGCACACCTTGCCATTAAACTGAGTCTGAAATCCATGTTCTGGCTGAATGAAAGGTTTGGCTGGTGCCTGTGTAATGCTCGACCCCCGATACCCAGAGTCGTGTATGTGAGAGAGGAGTGTTTTTTGGTCATAGATGCCATAGAAACAAGTTTGGGGATGGCGGAGCACTTCAGAGCATTTCAGTTAAGTTAAAAACTGACAGACTTGCAGAGAAATATCTTGTCACTTTTCCTACCTGAAAACAGCCTGGGGCCTGACCTCTCCTGCCTCTGGGCCCCTTTCTGTGGACATAGGAAGTCTGAATGCTCCTTTTTGGACTCTGAAGATTTTTAAATTGCAGGATCAGATTGAGAATCAGAAATACTGACTAATGAAATAAAACATTTAGGCTTTTTTGGTCTGTCTTTTGAACTGTGTGTGTTATGTGCAGTTAGACATATTTCACCTAGATGAGTTGTTAGAGTGTCAGTCTTAGGGCTTATTATTTTTTTTATTATTATTTTATTATTATCATTTTATTATTTTAGCTTCCCTAGCTCCCCAGAGTAGCTAGTTGGAACTTAGGGTGAATGTTCGGTTAATTGGGTTTGTGGACTGGTTACTGCCAGTTAGAAGTCATGTACTTTTGTGCTTTACAAGTTTAGTTTAGCTAAAATCACATGGAACTTGGACAATTTGAAGGAACATGGACAAGATTTATGATTAAAGCTTCCACGTTTCACCCTTGCCAAGCATGAGCTCTGTTCTCAAAATTACCTTTGAGTAAAATGGGAATTTGTGGCCATCTGGTCTGCGGCACTTGGGGTGAGGTAGGAATAGGGCCCTCCCTGTTCCTAACTATAAGTTCCTGCGAGAGTACAGAGTGCGTGGGTAGAAACGTAGGTTCTTCCAGGAGGTAAAAGCTTCAAATCTATGATGATTTAGAGGCAATGCGGGGTGGGTATTGAATTTGCATAGCCCTATTCCTTGTGGACTTAGAATGACAGAGAGAAAACTCAGTAGAAGAAATAACAATCCACGGAAATGTATGTATGTGTCAAGGTGGTTAAAATGACATCAAAGAAGGAAAACAGTTTTTGAAGAACCACATTACTGTAAAAAATGTTGGTTCGGATTCAGATCTGTGCTGATGAGAAACCCACATTTATTTTTTGCCAAGACATTTGCAGACCTAATCAAAGTCACAATAGGAATGACCACAGTTTTGGTTGAATTGTGACCAAAAAAGATTGCACAACACAGAAAGTGACCTCAAAATAATGAGAAATGTAGTACTGCATGCCAAGTTATTCACTAGGTCTTTGGCTTGAGAATAGTCACATGAATATGGACTTGGTGATTGACAGGTGGGAACGGGCTCATTTTATTTTGTGTGTTTAGAACAACACATTTAATTTCACTGGTTCAAGTGTCTGAACTAGTCACATGAATATGGACTTGGTGATTGACAGGTGAGAACGGGCTCATTTTATTTTGTGTGTTTAAAACAACATTTAATTTCACTGGTTCAAGTGTCTGAATGCTGGAGTAAGCCCATTTCCCTATCTTCGTTGTTACTCTGAAGTCCATTCACCTGACCCACTATGTCCCACTGCTGCTCAGGTCACAACAAACACAGGAAGGCTCGAGTACAGCTGGCACCAGCGACACTGGGCTGATGCCAGAGGTATCTCTCCTGCCCTGCTGGACAGTAGGAGGCCAGTTCTTTAATAAACAGCTGTACAGGCATTACTTCCTGGTTCACAATCATTGCAGCAGCAAATCACCCAAGCTCTGACTGCTCTGGTCTCCCAGCCACGTCTCTGAGCCGCATGTCAGGAAGGGCAGGGAATCGGGGCCCTTCAGAAGATTCCAAGACTTTCTTGCCACATCCAGACTTAAAAGTAAAGGGCTCAGATCTTCAAAAGGCAGATTCTTGTTACATTTGGACAGCACAAATATTCTTTGTATTTCAGTAGTTGTTTGACTTGATTACTTTGTATCTACAAATTAAAGCAATAGAAAAAAGAATTGTTTCAAAATACGCCTGCACAAACATTTCTTTCAGTAAGACACACTGACTATTTTGATGTGCTCTGGGGAAGCTTTTGAACACCAACATATGTGGAAGGAGCTGAGGATTTGTGATCAATCACTGTTTGTAGCAAGTTTCTTACTCTCCATTTGTGGGTCTCACTGAACACACCACTATGATTACTTCTGTAGGAAACTTGATTTTATGCATTAAAAGGGTAAGCAAGCTTTAGCCTCAATTTTGAGCTACTTAAAATTCCTCAAGAACAGCAGCAGCCTGTACAGCATGGTTTTGGAAAGGTAAACAGACTAGTGTTGGACCCAAAACATTTTCTCAGGTTGTCCATCAAAAATGGGCAATTATGGAGTTTTTCCTTCTTCATTATTCATTATATGGTCACAGGATGAATACAGCCCAGAGAGGGAAGAGAGAAGGCCAGGAGAGGAGAGGAGGGTCTGACTCATAGACAACACACTCCTGATCTCGCAGTCTCCTTTTATGGTTTAATGTAGCCCTCAACTTATTCTGCAGCTTCAATATGGAATAGATCATTACAATTCAAAAGATCAGTAAATAAAGAGTTTAATTCCCAATGTCCTTTAACTTTGTGGTGGGAGCCCAGCCAGTGCCATCCATTGAAAGTCCCTTCAGTGACTATAGACCTTTCACCTGGCCCATGAAGAGGGTTAAGTTCTTCACTTCAGGAGGCACCATGTTATAAGCATTAGGAACTTCCGTTTCAAACTAAGCTTTTCCACTTCACTAGTAAGCCTCAGCTGGGGCCTCACGCTGAAATTAATGAAGCTTGTTTGGACATAGTACTTACTTCTATTACTTTATTAAAATATTCTTTTTTGAACTGCCTCCATTTTTAAACTTAAATAATATCTATGAGGGGTGGCTCCATAGTGTAGTGGTTAGCATGTCTGTTTTACACGCAGAAGGTCCTGGATTCACACCCCAGGTGGAGCCACAGACCATACCCCAGGTGCGCCTGGCCCCGGGTGCATGCAGCAAGCATGTGGGAGGAGACACCTGCCTTCAGAGATTCAGTTCTTAAGGAGAGATGGCAAAATGCATACGTCAGGGGTGGAAGTGTGGGGCGGGGGGGCATTAAAGAGGAGAAAAAATAACAAAAATAAATAAATAATATCTGTGAAAGGATGGTTTTTTGGATAATATACATTTTCAATACACTAAAATAAACACATAAACATTAAAAATTTTAAAAGCACAATCAAAAATTATCTTTTGTATCAAATATCGAGAAATAATGCTCTAGTCTACTACATTTTAAAGATGTGGTGAGACTTTGAAGTTTACATTGCTCTGTAGTCAACATTCTTTGTTTTCTTATATCATGCGACCAATTGATTTTTGCTCAAGTCGTACTTTTCCAGTTGTCCTCATGGGTGTCGCAAAGGATTTGGTCAAATGCTTCGTTAAAACCAAAGTACTTCACATCTATGGTCTTGCCTTCGTCTATCTGAGTGTCATAAATACGGAAGGGGTTGCACTGCGGTGTTCAATAAGCCAACTACAAGACATTTGTAAATGTCTTTTCTCATTTCATGAGAATAGGCTAAGCACTAGGGAGGAGTATTTTTAAGTATCTGGTGGGTGTGTAAAAATAAAAAGCAATGGTCATATTTTTTGACAGCAAGAACTCAAGGAGAAGGATTGAGAACAGAGCAACATGGCACACCGATTTTCAACACAAGTCTCATTCAGCATCTTCCTATCCATCCTCTGCTGTACACATAGAGTCATAGTCACCAACTCTTTGGCACGGTCATCCCTGAATGGAACAGAGGTCATTCCTGGGCATCTATTGTTATATCTTGGCATTCTCAGCATTATCAGTCACTTTTGCAGGTACAGAAAAGTTAGGTCTGAGATCTAGCCTTGCCAGCGGAGGCAGAATAGGAGCCTGGAGGACTGACCTGGGTACAGATGAACGAAGTTCAGATCGATAGGCAAATTTGGCTCTGTAATGAGTACCACATTAACAGCTAATGCCCCTGGCAGGGGTCTGGGGAGAAGGGCATACACCTAGTAGGAAATCTCAGTGATGTGGAATATGGTGGTGGTGGTGGGGGGGGTCAGGTGTGGCAGGCATTGCACACAGAGGAGGTCTTAAAAGACAGCCAGTAAGGCCCCAGGAGTCTGGCAAGACTGAGACAGAACCCAGGCCCTGGAAGACAACTGTAGCACCTACCGTATATAGAGCAGGAAGAGAAATCAGAGCAGAGACCCAGTAAAAAGAATTAGGGCATGTGGGTTTGAAATTGGGAAACAAGTCAGAGTGTAGCCATTAGAGTTAGAAACCACACCAGGGGAAATCTAACCAATGATGCAAGTCATTGCCAAGCCCGATCCAGTGTCACTCTCAGGAGGCGTAAGTATCTCCTGATTCAGGCTAATATTAGCTTAAGGAATGGAGGGTGACGTCTAGCATGCAGATGGGGCTCAAGTGGCCCCAGTGATGGCACAGAGCAGGAACTGGAACTCAAGTCTGTTTGGCAACAAAACTCGTTTTCCCCACTGCACTCATCCAAGAGAGACAAGAGAAAGAAACACGCTCTAGCTCTTTGGGATGTAATCAATATGCTCACCAGACTAGGAGCTCCTTGAGTGCAGAAACTGTCTTGATCGCCGTTATATCTAGAGTGCCAAGCAGGGCCTGGCACATGCTCAAGGAATATTTATTGAATATATAAAGGAAGGCAAAGATGGATGAACAAATAGAAACAGTCTCTGTTAGGTAGACCGTCCATCAGGTTTCCGCAGTTTCAGTGAAATATCCTCACCCTAAACCTTTGATACCATTATCGTTTTTATTCCATGATATTTAAGCAATCTGCTAATTTTTAAAAAGTTGATTTTCCCGGTTTCTCCACACTGGATGTGAAGCAAATTCAACCACGAGTCATGGTTATTTCCCCATGTCATTTATTGTACTGACACCTGGTTACTACCCTGGTGACATGTGGATTATGTGAGCAGCGTCTATCTTTGGAAGGATGGGCATATTGGATACACTGAGAACATCCGGTTTCTGGTCCTCCATGATAAAGATTCAGACCCTAAAATATGGGACCCACTCATGGTCTGAGATCTTCTGTAGCCAAAAAGGGAAACTGATGCATCATAGAAGCATTTGGCCACGGACCTATTTCGTTTATCTTTCATATTGTTGTTGTATTTTTTAAAGTTGGCTCTCAGGTATCCAGCATTGTATTCATTATATTCCCAGGTCCATTCTCACCATTGACTCATGTGCTGGCTAAAACATTGTTGACTCATAGATTGACTCAATTCAGGTTTTTGTCTTCTCTTGAGAAATCAAAGAATCTTCCAACATTGGGTCTATTTCTCTGCATGGCAACAATTAGCAGCTACTCAGAATGATATTCCTGTTTACACCAGTCTCTTCTATTTCTTGGCTCTGTGTTAGCGGATATGCACCATTGGGCCTGAACTATTCCTCTAATAAAGTGGAGAGAGAGCTATTTTGTTGTGTCCCCTTCATTCTTGGCTCTGTGTTAGCGGATATGCACCATTGGGCTTGAACTGTTACTCCTCTAATAAAGTGGAGAAAGAGCTATTTTGTCGTGTTCCCTTCAACCATTTTCATCACCTGCCTGGTGACTGCCTGCTGGGCAACTGTCTTGGCATCGCTAATAACAGCTACTATTCACTGAGCCCTTATTATCTGACTTGACCCAACTTGACCCTCATACATTATCTCTTTAGTTCCTATACAACCCTATGAAGTTAAGTACAAGCTATTATTTTCATTTTACAAGTGTAAAAGCTGAAGCTCCAAACGCTAAGTAACTCGCCCAAGAAACTTCTAGTTGGCGATACTGAGTTGCAAACTGTGGCCCACCTGAGTCCAAACTGTGGGCTTTTAAACTTCATATGACACTGGTTCCCTAACCAATATTCTTATAACAATAGAATTACTGCTCTCACAGTGTTTCTTCTCATAATCAGGGCCGAATACTAGGAAGAGGGGCTGAGCACGGCCCTGGCTTCACCATGGCCCGAGGCAGATGCCCACTCCATGCCAGTGCCAGACAGAGCTGTGGCTTTGCTGACTCTGAGAGTTGTGCCTTTGCTAGAGACGGAGGTCACTGTGACTCTGGGGCAGCAGCCCGTTAATGACGGTCCCTGGCTGTGCATGCGTGTGTGGCGTGGCTGCCCCAGTGCTGTCCTGGATTGTCCCAGGGAAGTTCATATAAAGGGGCTTGAGCTCTAGGCTTGCAGCCTTCCGGCCACGGAGATGGGGAGGCTGCCGCTGCGGGGTGGTGAGCATGGCAGGTTCCAGCCTTTACGGTGTCACTCAGTCCATGGGATATCAGACTTCATAAGTTTGTCATATCTCTGGTGTCTGAGAAGCAGCGGGGCTTCAGGTGGCCCGGATTGGGTAGAGGTGGGATGGGACACAGTGAGGGCCAGAGGAGCCCAGGGAGGAGTGATCGAAGCAGTGGTTTTCAAACTTGGCTGCGCAGTAAACCCGGGCTGGTTTCCCCCTCAGACCCAAGAAATCAGAATCTCTGCAGGAAGATGGCACTACTCTTAAATTTGAAGAATTGGGAACCACTGGCCTGGAGCATCTTCTGGGACTTCTGAAAGTCATCGTTGGCCCTGTGCACAGCATGTGTGTGCACATGAGGTGTTTATTAAAGCAAAAAGGAGCTTAGATAGACCCGGCTCCACTGGCTCAACTTAGAGAAGAGGAAACCAGTGAAAGGGTGTGTGTCTCCATTTGCGCCTCTTCATCTGGTTGTGGTGCCGAGTGGCTGGGGGCACTGGAGGACCCGAGTGTGTGCGGGGCGAGTCTCTCTGGGCAGGCGTGTGAATCGGTGTGATTCCTTGCTGTTCCCTGCGGGGCTGGTTCTTGTGCTGAGACACCACCCTGTGGAGGGGGTCGTGTCCTTCTCTCCAGAGGCGGGGAGGCTCCCCGGCTGAGGCGTGCTCCTCACTGCGTGTCCCCTGCACTCACACCCTGCTCTGGCTCCGATGTCAGAGGTCACTGTTCCAGCACCGTTCAGCAGAGGATGCTCTGTCACCTGCTGTTTGTGTCGCTCCCCGTGTGCTGGGATCCAGACCTGAGGATCTATGCCGACCAGGATTTCATAAGACATTCTCATCCTCTGAGACCTCAGCAGTGGGGGAGGACCGGATGTTAGTGTAGTTTGGGATGTGTGTCTGTGTGTGTGTGGGGCGGGGGGCAGGGGGCATTTTACAGTGGCCTGGCCTCTCGGGCTGTGTCCACACTGCTCTGCGGAAGCTGAATTCCATCTCCTTCCTTGGTCTCTGCCAACTGATGCGTGCTCTCCCCTGCCAGGTGCTGCCCATAGACTGGCGTGTTATTTCACCAGACGGGCACACGGTCGACCCAGCCCTGCCTGGATCTAGCCAGGTGACCCGGACCTCCTTTCTCTGTACCCGCCTGGTATTTGCCTTTGCCTCAATGCGTAACGACCAGATTGTTTCTAAGCTTTTGCAGGATGCGAGAATTCTCTACTCAGAGTTCAACAAGCTCAAGGAGAGGTGTGTTCGTACTGGACATGGTGGTCATATTTTCAGATTTTACAGAGGGAGAAGAATTAAGCCTTTTCTCCTGTTGCTCGTCAACTTCTCTCTGAGTCTTCAGGTGCGAGCTTCCTCTGAGGCGGGCTGCGGAGCTCCCCTTACTCGGGAACCTCCCGATGGCAAACACGCTGAGCTCGGTCTTGTCCCCTTGCCTTGTGGGTGCCGTTGCCTCTGCCTGGAACGTCCTTCCTGCTCTTCATGCCTGGCAACCCCCAACTCACCCTCTAAGCCCAGTGTGAAAATTGGATCCATTAATTCTGTGAAAGTGCTTCAGAGAGGGTCTGCACGTCACAAATGCTTCATGAACGCTAGCATTTTTATTGCCATTCGTCACCTGCAACTCCCAGGCGTTGAGCCCCCCTAGGGAAGGGGCCATATCTCTTTGTGCCCGTGGCCGGGTAGTGCCTAGGGTCGGGCTGGCTCTCAGAGAGCGCTTCTCTGAGTACTCCTTTCTCCAGAACTCCTGGGTTCTCTCTCTGTCCAAAGGGAGGCCTGTCGCTGCACGGTTATAGATGGCCAGGGCGGAAACCCCATTGTCACTGGCTCCTGGGCTCCCTAAGAGCAGGGAGGAGCGTGTCTGTCTTGCTCAGTGTTTTATCTCAAGCACCTAAAGCTGTCAATGGCACATAGTAATTGCTCAATAAATACTTCTGACTAAGAAAATGTGTGAAGAGAAATATTTCAGGCCCCTTTCTGCTTTTCCTTTTCACGGGAGCGCAGGGGAGGGGGAGAGACTTTGGTGGACGTCGGGCAGCCTGGGGCATCCGGGGGATGCCTGTGGCTTGATCGCTCTCCTCTCTTTTCCTTTCTTCCCCTTTCTGTGCTCTGCGCTGCTCTCCCCTTCCCCCCGCCGGCCCTTTCACTTCCCCTGTATCTTCTCATTGTTCCCCAAATGAATGCAGCAAAAACAATGGTGACCGCAGCTGCCCATTGGGGTGGGACCCAGCTTACCAACTCTCTCTTTCTCCCCCTTATCATAGGAACAGGGAGCTGAAAACTGCTGTCCATAGGGGGTTGGAACTTTGGCACATGGAGGTGAGACTTTGCTGTAACCATCTTCTCGCTGTGTATGTGGGGCGGGGTGATGGCAGTGGGAGAGGGGGGCAGGCAGGCTAGAGTGAGGATGGAGTGCAGAAGCCAGCTTGGCCGTGGGGAGAAAAGCTAGCGCAGGCATTTCCCTGAGTCCTGACCTGGCGCTGGATTCAAGGGCTCCCCCGGCCTCTCCACTGAAGTTCCCACAGGTGGTAAAAAAGGGAGTAGGGGGAAATAAGGGACAAAATGGGGTGCTCACAGTTGTTTAGGACAAGAATAAACCCCAAACCTCACGGGCCTGGGTTTCCTCACTTTATAAATGGAGCTGGTGATATCAACCACAAAGGGCTGTGTGGGAGGAAAGGAAGTAACATAAATAAAATGCGAAGCTTTGCCCCTCGGTAGTGACTCTGATCCAACACATGCTGACTGTTTTACTAGCACGTTACCCTCCTCAGGGCGATGTGGAAATGAAAAACTGCCTTCCTGTTCTCTGGAGAAGCATTTCCCCAATTTCACAGCTGAGGTCAGGGACAGAGGCCACACCTGCCTCCTCGCCTTAGGCAATGAGCTGCTAGAGAGGGGGACATGGCTGCGTGGGAGTGTGTGGCGTTGAGCTGGTACAGGACCTCCTGTGCAACGGAGGGAGGACTTGGGTGTTGGGTGGGAACTGGCTCTGTCCACCCCAGGTCTCACCTCTCCCTCTGTGACCACTTTTTGAAGACTCATTGTGTGCCAGGTGCTGGGCTAGAGGCTTGCACACTTCATCTCATGATTACTCAGAAGAGACTTTACAGAGTGGTTGTTCATGTTTCATATTTTTAGAAATAGAAAGCCAAGAGTGAGAGGTATTAAGGAACTTGCCTTATTTCATGCAGGTGTTCCTCAGAGGTCACCCAGCTGGGAGGTAGCAAACAGATCGTGGACCCAGGCCTGCCTAACTCTGAATCCAACTAAGTTGCTAATCATTGCATACAGGACTAGCTCAGAATTGTTTCAAGTTCAACACCAATAAGTTAGAAGTTTCCAATAGTGCCTTCGCTATGGAAAAAAAAGTGTAGAAAAAATAGGAAAGCAAAGTCAAATAGCCAATGAACAAAAGATCAGAGACCAGAACCCCTGTCAGAGCTGGAGTCTCTTGTGCCAAGTTTTGCAGCCTGGGCCCAGAGAAGCTCATAGATCTTTGCGGAAATTCTGGCCCTTGACTCAGTTTCTGTCCCCAAATCCAGTCAGGGGAAGAATGTCAGTGCTGGGACAGGTCAGCAGGGGCTGAGCAGTCCCCTGAGCAAACAGCAGAGAGGCAAAGCGCTGGCCAGTGGCACCGTGTTTTAGGCGGCTGAGCTGGACTGAGCCCCTCCCATCCCAGGCTGGCGCTGTTTTTGTGCGAGCTGCTCCCCAGTGCTGTGTGGCCTGGGGCAGGCTGAGGTTTACAACGCTTTCCTGCTGCTTGAATTCCTCATTCCTCACTGTTTAGCCCCTGGTGCTGGGAGGGGCTTTTAAGAAAATTCGAATTTCAAAGACCTGCCTTCCTTACCTCCAGTCACATCCATGGCTTCCACAGGGCCGGGGACCAAGGGGCCTGTCTGGAGGTCATGGTTCTCCTTGCCTCACCCCTGCCGGTTCACCACTATGCTGTCCACACTCACCCACCGGGAAAGGCTTATCGATTCAGTCGTCACCCTCCTGAGGACATAAGCTTTGATGGTGTGGACCTCTGCTTCTCGTACCCTGGACTACGAGGCAGCCCCACGCGTGACCTGTGGACTTTTCTCTTCTTAACTGAAGTGCGGCCAGCCTGGCAGCTCCAGAATCTGGAAAGAACTCTACTCACATCGTGTCTGGGCTCGTGGCATAGGACGGGCATGTGGCGGGAGGCGAGAGCAGGCGAGCAGTCACAGAGGTTCCTTCACTGCCATCACCCTAGGGAGGTTAAGCCAAGGAACGCTGAGCAGGTGGCCTTCGGTGGCTCTTTCTCTCTGTTGTATCCAGGTCTTGCTCCAGCCCTCCTGGGTGAGGCCTTCTCTGTGCGGCTTCCTGGACCCCCGCGGGCAGGCAGGGAGCCTGCATCCTGTGCCTCCGACCTTGCTGGCCTGCACTTCTCTGTTAAATCATTTGATACGTTGGCTCAAGTCTGCCTTTCTCACAAGCCTGTGGGCAGGGCCTGCGTCTGACTTACCTTTACGCTTCCAGAGCCTGGCTCAAGGGGCCCATAAATAAAGGTTTCCTGGATGATGCTCTTTCCGGACTGTTTTGTCTGGTTCTCTGGCTGCCTCTCACTTTCCAGCAGCTCCTGTTTGCTTGCCAGAAGGAGGCACTACTCAGCTCACAGCCAAGGCCGCTGCTCTCTGCTGCTGTCTCTGGGGACCGCACATCATCCGAACAGCTTATGATGCATCTGGAAAGGTGAGCGGGTGCTGCCCTGGAGAGCCAGCACACTGAAGGGAGGGAGGTATCTCGGGCTCAAACCCCCAGAGCTGCCCAGGCGCTGTCCTTGAGCTGTCCCGTGTGCCTGCCGTGGTGCACCTGCGAGTTCGGGGGTGGGCCGAGGAGCAGGGACAGGAGCAAGGATCGGCCCCATTAGACCGCAGACCTCCTTTAGGAAATCAGAGGGAGGCGATGTAGCACCAGCCACCACATCATCCTGGAGAGAGGGCCGTGGGCCTGGCCTCTGCCATCCGGAGTTCGGCCGTGGATGTTCGCTGTGCAGCAGATGGCTGGCATCAGAGAGGCAGC